GTCCCTCAGGTTTTGGAATACTCTGGGCCACCGTCTCAGAGTAGCCTCTGCTGCTGCTGAGAAGCTTCATGCCATTCCAGTTCTCATTCTTTTGCATATAACTTGTGCATTCATTGAAAAAATTGGCCTTTGGTCATGCTATGCCGGGAATAACAGTGAACAAAGTTCCTTCCAATGAGGAATGTCACGGGGACAGTGAGAGCCCTGAGGAGGTCAGCAGTGCTGGTGGGCATAGTCAGGGAGTCCGTCTGAGCCAAGGTCACCCAAGACCAGAAGCCAGAGGAAGCTCAGGCAAGCCAGGCCATTAGGGAGGCCCCAAGTGGAGCAGAGGCAGGGATGGGGGAGCGTTGGGAGACGGAGCACTTGGCTTGGACCCCGAGGGGAGAGGTAGGAGGGCTTCAGGCGGAGCAGTGTCATGGCTGGGAGGTTCTCTCTAGTCTGGGCAGGGGTACTGGAGCTTCAGAGCTGGAGTCAGGAGAAGTCTGATTTGGATGGAGTCGGAAGGGGGGTCCAGGCTGACTCACTGGGAGGAGGCAGGGCACAGCCGCTTCCTGCCAGGGCAGGACTGCAGGAGAGCCAGTGTGTGGAGAAAGCTCGCAGATCCTGTTCCAGACGCAGTCTCTTTGTAACATTTATGAGCTATCCCAAAGAGGGTGTTGAGCGGGCAATTAATATACAAGTTCAGCTCAGGCTGAAGACAGGGATTCTGGAATCATCAAGTACAAATAGGATTTAAAGCCATTGAACTTCCTAGAAAGGTCCCTGGAATGCATGTGGGTGGAGACCATTTGGAGGTCCCGTGAAGGATGCTGGGAGGCGAGGCCATGACCTGGGGTGGACAGGTGGGGGCGCTGAGGTGGCAGACCGCTGGCGGGCAGGTGAGAGCCTCTTGTTGCTGCTTCTCAGACACGCTCAGCTAGTCATGCTCGTGTGAAAACACAGTGCCATCTTCTTAACGTTCTTCTATGAATAAAGCAGATCGGTTTTTAAAGAAGGTGCTCATTTTTTTTTCTACAGAACTGTTTTCATTCTTAATACAGACACATGTTGTTTGTCTCTCTGAATTGGCTCTTACGCAGAAGGGATTGCTCACCAGCCCTCTCATCTCCAAGTACCCTTTCGATGCTAGGATTCTCTTCTGGGAGTTAAATTTGTGTGAGATTAAGATCACATGGAAGTATCGGTAAACTGGCTCTGTTTTTGCAAGAAGCCAGTCTAGTAGAATGGATTTGGAAGATAATTAGGCAGAGTCCTTTGACGCTGTGTTCTGTGGCTCTGTACCTTTCTGAGCACACTCGGTGTTGGGAAGGAAGTGCTTAAGAATGTGCCTTATGCTTTTAGGAAGCTTGATTTCTCCATACAACTGTACTTGCCCTTAGGACATGTAGGGGCCCGTTGAGATTTCTCTCTTGGATTTATTTGGAGTAAGTGTTTGTGGTGTTCATGATGTTTGTTTATTAGGTAAATCATTTCAGCATTTAACTTACTGTAAAACCCAATCTCCTCTTGGAAAATTCAACGTAAAATACTGAGAACAACAACAAACCTGGTAAGATGTATTATGTCATGGAAGCCCAGTGCTAAACACAACAGTGGGAGCACTTTGCAACTGTACGCACCCCTGTGCCTGTCTAGGATGTGATGGTGACCTTAAGGGAACGTGGTCCTGGAGTGCCCAGACCTCTGTCTATTCTTTCCATGGTCTAGTCCATTGGTTCTCAAAACTTAGTGTTCATGAGAATTTCTGAGTTGGGGGCTGTATACAAAAATCACAGTCCTCTAATCGGTGTCCACTTTAAAGGGTTTTAGTTCAAGTATTTCAAGAGCTGTGTGAGCCCCCTGCTGCGTCTTTGAAGAGCCTCTGTAATAGGGTGATGTCAGCTTGCCAGGCTTCCTGTTCACCGCAGGCTATCTTAGCACCAGGGTGTTTTAGAAGGTGCACAGGCCTTGCCATCAGCAGGCTTTTCTTATTAAATGCTTATCTAGTGCCTGCTGTATACTGGGAGCTGTGTGAGCTGCCTATTGCTGTTTTTAAGATGTTGAGCCCTTGGGTCAGTAGCTGTGCCAACAGCCCTGATGTTGTGGAGAATTACCCCAGGGGTGTGTGTGCATGGTCCCTACAGAGGGCAGAGCAGGGGCCTACTGAGTCGGCCTGGGGTAGGGGATGGTAAAACAAGGGGGGCTTCACAGCAGGCAGAAGACTCCGAAAGGATACCCCGAGGTCAGGATGAGGAAACGCGCTATTCATGACAGTGGGACCCAAAGATCCCAGGGGGCAACAGTGCTGCCCTGTCTCTGTCACAGCCCTCCCAGGCCTCAGTGTCTGTGGGGAAAAGGACAGAAACGACCTTCTCCCTAAAATCTTTCCATCCCTGACTTTCCCCGAAGTGAGAATCGGGAGAAAGGAGAGAACTGGTAAAGCTGCCGCAGTGTTGGGTTCTCGGCCACCCGGTAGAGCAGCCTTCCCCGGAGCGCCTTGTGCAGCGGGATGTCTCCAGCGGGTCAGCCACGTCCTCCTCTCATGGGACGTGGGTGGCTCACTGCCGTCGCGAGACACATGGAGATGTTCAGACTCCTCTCACCTTTGCAGAGGGCACTTAACGTGTTGTTGGAGAGGGCTCACAGCGCGCAGTGCGAGGCTAGAGAGAAGGGCAGCCTGCACTGACCTCCGCCAGGGTTCCTGTTTCCCATCCCTCCTTCCGGTGACACCCTGTGGTGTGGGTCCCCATGTGCCCAGGGCTCACAGCCTCCCCCCACATCCGGAGTAAGATCTAACTCAAGGCTTAGGAGACGCTTCAGCCTTGGAGGTTTGGGTTTATTTTCATGCCTGGGACAGGGCATTTTCTTTTGGTGAGCTCAGCTGCACATCTTAAGTTTTTCAGTATGTTTTGCCAGTGTCTTTAGATGTTTGTAGTGGTGAGTTCCTGAGTTAAGTTAATCTGCCACCTTGCCAGCACTGCTATTTTTAACACTTTGTTTTAATTTAATGTGACGGACAATTCAGGAAAGTCAGATAGACTGCTCATTAATCTGCCTATTAGTACTTTCAAAGGAATGGTACTCAATTTTGAAAACAAGTTATTCACTTCTGTTACATAAAGAACACATTAAGTTGCAATTGCATAATATATACTGTTAGTTGAAACTTAATTGTAAAACATTTTGTTTTTATGAATTCCTATGGCTCATTGGTTGTGGCTGCGATTTAAAATGTACTTTGGCTTGTTTTTAGGCAAGAGGCTGACTGCAGGACAGGATATGGAGTGTCTGTCCTTCCTTGAGGTGTGCCACTTGGCTGGGCGCTAGCAGGACTTGCAGTCCCCTCTCCCAGGGACACGGGCACGCTGGGGGTGTTCTCTGTGGGATGTTAGGTTACACTCTGGTCTTGCTGATGCCACATCATTTCCTCCTCCATGGTAGTGGCTTTGCCCAGGAGGTGACAGGAAGGACCCCAGTAGCTTGATTATCTGAAGGGGGATGGGTGGGAATAGTAATTCCATTCTTTCAGGGCTAATATTGTATCTTTCAGAAGCATATGCTTATGTTGGAATGCCTCATTTGGTTAGAAAAATCTTCCATTTGAACTGTCGCTTCGGTTTATCCATCCGACAGATATTGCATGCTATGTGCTGGGGTGACAGAGTGCACATGCCTTTCCTGCCATCGCCCCATGTGCCCACCTGTGTCGGACAGTCTTGTCTCGGGCCCTGCTTCCTTCACAGATGTTATGTGAACGTTTCTGTGCTGAAGAGCACGTGGAGAGGATATTGGGGCCGCATATCTTATTTTGAGAACGTGGAATGTTGTTGTTGTTAATGCATAACAGTGGGTGGTGTAACGTCAAGCTAGAGAGGAACAACTTGGGAGTTTGTGCATGTATAATTAATACAGATCAAGTCATTATCAGCTGTGGATATGCCTGCAGCACACAGGAATTACACAGTCATTCCAACCCAAAATGCAAATGCTGGGATCCAGCTGTTATTGAGAAATTGTCAGTTGCTATACTACTGTTTCCCCATGTGTAGCATACATTACTGAAAACCATGGTCAGTGTAAAGCTTTCACTATTTGTAAATGTTTTTGTTTTAAAACGGATTAATTGAAAATCAAAATAATATTTCTTGATTGGAAAAATCTTTTCACCATCCTCTAATGAAGAGGAAATTAAATCTCTCTGTAGTCGGAACCAGTTGCTTATCTACAAACAGGATTAGAAATTAAAATTCTTAATTAGATCATTGACTCTTCTGTGATTTAGCTAGTTTTAAATATTTTTCCCAAAAAAAGATGAAAGAACTTACAGGACTTTGAATTGTTAAAACAATGGGCTGCTGTCCTACAGATGTTTACATATGTGCCCAGAATAAACGGGAAGCTGTTGTACATCACTGTTTATAATAGCAAAGCCTGAAACGACCTCAGTGCCCATCAGAACTTCTTAAATAAATTATAGTACATCCATGTATTGTGGGTGGGGGCTTGCACTAGTGACAAAGAGCAACACAGCTTTAGAAATGGGATGATTTCCAAAACGAATGTTTGAATGAAAAAGAGCATAGAGAATGGGAGTGGTATCAGAATGGGCAAACCAGGGAAGGGATTGAGTCACACGTGGATTTCATCAGCATAGGTCATCTGGGATGGCCACGTGGGGAAAGGGCAGCTAGTGGCTCCAGAGAAGGGACTTTTCTTCTAAGCTGCACATTCTGCAGTCAGGGAGAGCATTAACTTGTCGAGGAATGTTCACATTTGGCTGTTTTGAATATCCTGTTCACTTTCCACTGTCCCTGGGTGCGTGGATATCGCCTGGCTCTTCCATTTTGCATGTCACACGGGTGGTCTTTCTTGTATCCGAAAAATATAGAAAACAGTGTACTTGAAAATGGACCAAAATGGTGTTGGACTTGGGAAGGTGTCCCTTTCTTACTGCAGCATGGACTCTGTCTCCTCGCCTGTCGCTTGCTGCTCTCACTCCCCACAACCGCGTCTCTTCACAGCGACGGTGGCCACCATGTACTACAGCTACTACATGCTGCCCGATGGCACCTACTGCCTGGCACCTCCCCCACCAGGGGTTGATGTAGCCACTTACTACAGCACCCTGCCTGCCGGAGTGACCGTGTCCAGCTCCGCCGGAGTGACGGCCACCGCCCCACCGCCTCCTGGGACCACACCACCACCCCCGCCAACCACAGCAGAGACAAGTGGTGGGGTGACCTCCACCACCATCACCACAAGGTACGCTCTCACTTCTTCGAGTCACCTGGCGCATCTGCGTTCTTGGTTCGGGGGTCTTTATAATGTGGGTTACATAGAGGATCTCCATTATGAGTGTTTATTTTTCAAATCCCCAAGTTACAGAGTTGATAGGGCAACAGAAATTGTCACACATAAACACTTTTAGCAGCAAGATCTAACCACTTAGAAAATTAATTTCCAGTTAGCACTCCACACTGCCCCCCTTAATCCCAGCATCTATTCTTTCCAATGTGTTGACACCTCAGTTGGGGAGTACTAGGCAAAATCAGTGTGAAGTGAAGCCATGATTACTTGCAAAACGTGTAGGATTTCATAAAGTTGATGATAGCAAGGCAGAGACTAGACCCCCAGCACCTGTCACTGGCCAGCATGTGTGTGACTCTAAGTGTCAGTGGGCTGAGCAAGTACCCCACTGGAATGTCTCAAGTTGAAAAGAGGCTCTCTGGAAATTTGACGAAACACTTGGATATTTCTGCAAAAATGACCCACTTTCTGATCATGCTAAGAAAGTTAAACATGAAATGAAAGATGTTGTCATGCTAGCCATTTTTTTTTTTGAGAAAGATTAGCCTTGAGCTAAAATTTGTTGCTGCCAATCCTCCTCTTTTTGCTGAGGAACACTGGCCCTGAAGCTAACATCTGTGCCCATCTTCCTCCACTTTATATGTGGGACGCCTACCACAGCATGGCTTGCCAAGAGGGGCACCAAGGATCTGAACCCACGGACCCTGGGCCACCAAAGTGGAATGTGCGCACTTAACCACTGTGCCACGAGGCTGGCCCCTCTTTTTTTTTTAATATAACAAAAATCAACACTTGATTTATTCTTGGTTGCTTCTAAGAAGTAGCTTGTAATTGGAGGGAAATGTTAGGAGAAAAAGAAATGAACCTGTTTCCATGACTTTAAGTGTCGTTTTTCAGTAAGATCCCCATTTTCGCCCTTGACGATATTTTGGTCCCTGTTTTAAATGGATTGGCTTTCATAGTGTTTTGTGGTACAAGTCACCTCAGGTAAAGAGCCTCCCTGTGTGTGTGTAACTTCCCTCTTGGTGTGAACTGAGACAGTGAAAGGCCCTCCTGCGCCGTGCTGAGCTGATCCCCCTGCCAGTGATCTGGAGGAGGTCCTTCTCTGTGAGTGATGGAATGCTTCTCTGCAGTGCACTTGCTCCTGCGGCTGCCATCATCCCCCCGCCCCCCGACATCCAGCCCGTGATTGACAAGCTGGCAGAGTACGTGGCTAGGAATGGCCTTAAATTTGAGACCAGCGTTCGTGCCAAGAATGATCAGAGGTGAGGTGGAGAATTTTATATGGGTTGCATAGATGGTATTTGGGGTTTAGTTTGGCTTCTTTTTCTTAATCTAGCTACAGAATTCCTTTTTTTCTTTTTAATCCTTATGTGTTTAGATAAATACATCTTGTAATTACCTTGTTAAACTACTTTGAGTCAGGTGGTGTCTTTTTTTTATTGTTATCTGTTTTTTTGTTTGTGTAGGTGGTTTTGTTCTTTAAGAATATTGAAGCTACCTAAAATAAAAGGCTGGAATTCATGCTTCTCAAGAATGTGCTATGGAAATTTAGACACACTTCAGTTTTATTTATTTTTTTTAATGAAATACTGTTCCGTACCTCAGGTAGGGAAACAGAAAACATGAGGTTTCATGGCAGTTCCTCGATCTCCCTTGTCTGAAATGGGTAGGTGTAGTCATAGCTACTACATAAGTTGTTGAGATAATTAGGGTCAGGCATTGTAAAGCGTTTAGAGCAGTGTTCAGCTCACAGCAAGTACACAGTATCAGGAAGAGTTAAGTGTTGCTGTTGCAGTGTGCACGTCTCGTTGAATGACTTACTTGCCTTTTCTGTTCGTAGATTTGAGTTCCTACAGCCGTGGCACCAGTATAATGCCTACTACGAGTTTAAGAAGCAGCTCTTCCTCCAGAAAGAAGGGAGCGAAAGCACGCAGGTGCGTTCCTGTCGAGGCAGGGCAAGTGTGAAGCTCTTTTGTGATAGCTCTGATTTACAGATGCAGAAATAATTTTCTGTTTGCTCTCAGGATGTATAAAAGGGCTTGTAGATTTTACACTTGTTTTTGGGTGTAATATCTATCTGGCATGTGCTATTTTCAACCTTTCCCGCCTCTCAGAGTTGAAACTTGTTTTTTAGATCTGTTGAAAACTTTGACCCATATTCATCATTCATTGCTGAGCATTTGTCCAGCATGTTGTAAACAAAAAATCCCATTTCTTTAAGGACTTGATGTTTTGCTTGGCTGTTATTTTTAACTACTTCTCATGGGAGCCGTATGCTAGACTTGTGTTGTCTCAACATACACTAACTGTATGAAATGTGAGCATGTGCAGTCACAGCTGCTGTGCTGGAGCTGCACAGCTGCCATCTGTGGTGAACACCCTTTATTCCGGGTGCTGCCTGCCAACAACTCCCCTCACCCTCCCCTCCTTGCAAATATCCCCGCACGTGGTTTTTACATGCCCATTGGAAGCATTTCTTCCTGTCCCTGTAGTCCTCTCTTGTGCCTCTTCTCAATTATGTGGACACCCTGATTTTTCTTTTCCCTTTTTTTTTTTGTGAGGAACATTCACCCGGGCTAACGTCTGTTGCCAGTCTTCCCCTACTTTGTCTATGGGGTACCTCCACAGTGTGGCTGATGGGTGGAGTATGTCCGCACCCGGGATCCAAACCTGTGAACCCGGGCTGCCAAAGCAGAGTGCACAGAACTTTAACCACTGGGACACAGGGCCAGCCCCCTGACATTTTTTTAAAGCCTGTTTTGTTAGAGAGATGACGTAGGCCTTGCTTATCGTTGGGTTTCTTCTTCAGACCTCTATCTCTGATTGCTCAAACTGAAGAAAATTGACTTATCTGTAGGCAATGGGCATAATTTGGTATTCTAAAAGTGTTCTCAGTCATCAGTCTCCAAAGTAGTAGTAGTGAGCATTGGTTCCCAAGACAGTATTCAAGCTTTAAGAATAAGCGTGATGTTCTTCCGGAGGAAAATACCTCCTTCCACTCCTCTTTTCATTCTGTTGTAACAGATAGCAAATCTGAGTTTGAAGGTATGTTCCTTAGTGTTAGCCAGGGAGTAGTGTAGAAATGCTATTGTCCACTGAAATATACGTATATACACATATATCTTTTTTAACAAATCTAGGCAATTTCTCATGGAACAGTTTGTAGTCATGTTTGATCTCTGTAGGCTGTGTCAGCACCGGAAGAGGCCCCTGCAGAATCTGCTCCTGAAAAACCGAGTGACATTGGGGAGGATGGTGTGTCTGAAGACATGGCCGACGCGGGAGGAAGAGGCGGCTCGGGGGGGAAGAAGGAGGCATCATCCAGTAAAACCGTTACGGACGGGAAGCTAGTGAAAGGTACGCTGCCACCACTGCCGGAAGTTCCAGTCCTGACCTCGGAGACGTTACTTTAAATTAGCAGGAGAGAATTCTGGATTCCTTAAGGTTAGGTGCCTTTAACTACAGGACAGGAGAGAACTGGCTGCTACTTTCAAGTTGCGGTAATAAAGTCCTTTACTTCATAATACTTTCCTACTGTGGACTTTGGGGTCATTTGGATATAAGCTCATCTTAGGTTTATGGTTGTTTAACAGCCTGTTACAGTAGATTAATGGAAATATTCAGAATATTTCAAATAATGGTTTGTATCCCCTCAGACTTCTGAAACTATTTATATGCCAACTACTGTACCAGTGACATTAGTTTTCTTTATTTGTTAAGGCAAGTCTTTTGAGGGTCTCTACCAGGCAGTGCCCCACTCGCTCCATTTTAGTTCCTTTTATGTTCTTGGAAGTTTTCCATCTACTAGGACAGACAGACAGACATGAAAAGAGCCAATATAACAAAAAAGAGAAAGGAAACAAAGTTGATGCAGGCATGTTAGCAAAGAGCCATGTGGTAGAACATTCAAAGTAGCGCTGAATGGGGGAGGCTTGGTGGGGAAAGGCTGATGGAGCCGGCGTTGAGAGTTGAACGGGACCCCCAGAAACAGGGCCGCCGCCCCAGGCAGACGCTCTGTGGCTTGTGCAGGGGTGAGAAGTCACCCAGAGACTCGGGTGGTGGTGAAGTGGGACAACCTGGAGAGGTAGCGTTGGCCAGCTTGTGAGGGCGCTGCCCTCCCGTGAGATCCTGGAGCTTCCAGTGCGGGTAGTGGCACGCCTTACAGGTTTAGATCAGAGGAGTAACTTTGTCCAGTTTGGTGACTTTGTGAGGAGGCAGAGAAGCACTTTGGAGGGCTTTGGTGGAACTGAAATAGAACTGTAATAGAAGTAGAAGAGGGAGCACTGTCAGGTGTGCAGGAGCAGGCCGGCAGCTCCTGGTGCAAGGAAGGACAGAGGAGACACAACATTGACATTGCAGGAAGGCCTTTTCTTTGCATAGAGATGCCTTTTTGGATGGTGATCAAGAGTATCCAAATTGACTGGGATGAATGACTGACCAGGAGAATTCAGTGATTTAGAAAAGCATGAAGGCATCTCTGAGCCTCTCGTTCCAGGAGGTTACCTGAGCACACGCGTTTAATCTCTCACCTTTCCCAGCCACCTTCAGACTCATTCAGATAACCAAAGGAGTATAACAAGCAGAGATTGAAAACAGTTATTGCTCCAGAAAAAAGGGGATACTGTCCATGTTTCATAAGGACCAGCCAGCCCGCCTGCAATTTAGTTCATAGGGAAGAGAAGGACACTTTAAGACTCAATAGCAGTGACCTTTGGGGGAACCCACTATCAGCCATAGAGGAAGCGGGCAGCAGGCCAGAACAGCCAGAGCATCAAGGTGGCAGCAGGCCTCCCAAGGGGCTGGGGATGGGGTGCAGTGGTCCCCTCAGCTGCTGCCTGCAGTGTAGCTCCCTCCACGCTCCCATGATGGTCTCTCCTTCCACGCCCCATGATGGTCCCGTAACTTGGCAAATAAAACAACATGTACAGCTTCCCTCCTGCTGCTGTCCGAGCCGAGATCCCTGAGAGCTGCACGGTTTCTGGCAAAGCACGTCCCAGCTCACTGCCTCTCGCAGTCAGATGAGGGAGCAAGCATCCCCTGTGCCTGCAGAAGTGCTCAGAGGACACATGTCTGAGCCCTGGAGCACATGGGCCCCTCTGAAGCAGAGTTATCGAGTGACGGGAAAATTTCCTCCCGGGGCCGGCTCCGTGGCTGAGTGGTTGAGTTCGCGCCCTCCGCTGCAGTGGCCCAGGGTTCAGATCCTGGGCGCGGACATGGCACCACTCATCAGGCCACGTTGAGGCGGTGTCCCACATCCCACAACTAGAAGGACGTGCAACTAAGATATACACCTGTGTACGGGGGGGTTGGGGAGATAAAGCAGGAAAAAAAAAAGAAGATTGGCAACAGTTGTTAGCCCAGGTGCCAATCTTTGGAGAAAAAAAAAAAGATGATTGGCAACAGTTGTTAGCCCAGGTGCCAATCTTAAAAAAAAAAGAAAAGAAAGAAAATTTCCTCCAATCTCTAATTTATATTCTCACAAAGCTGAAGAAATTGTAAGACTAGTGCAACTGATGGTCTGACATCTGGAAAAGATTGCTTAGAAATAGATTGCCAAATTTTAAAATATAATGAAAGCACTGAAAATCAGATGGGATGAGAAGACAAGTTCAAAGTGTTTCTCAGCTCTCCAAGGAAAAGGGTAAAGATGGAGGAAAAGCATCCAGAGAGAAAAATAGGCAGGTAGTCCTCTGAGAGGGAAAAAAAGGTTGGCATGTCAGACTGATGTCTGTAACATTAAATGCAAGATAATTAAGGTCTGTCTGAAATTCTAAATGAAAAATACGCTGCTGAAGCAGAAACTTTTACAGACATGTCAGTGCTCTTAAATAGTTAAAGTGAGGAAAAGGAGAATATTTCTTATCAAAAAATTATCAAATGTGGTGAAAACTTCAAAGAGAAGCCTATAGCCTTATATGTGTATGTTGGTAAAGAAAAAATAAAAAGAGAACAAGCATCCACCTCAAGAACCTAGAAAGAAACCATAAAATGCATCCTAGGAAAGGAAGAAAGGGGAATCAATAAAAATCAAAGCAGAAATCAGTGAGAAAATAATGAAAGACCAGTAAAATATCATCTGTGCAGGTTTAATGTAGAAAAAAGCAAATGCAAATACACAACCTAATGAATGAGGAAAAAATCACAGATACTTTGAAAGTCCACAGGAATAATACATACAACTCTATGTTTGAGTGAATTTGAAGATAACTGAAAAATGTCTAAGAAAACATAAATTGCTAAAATTGTTTCAAGAAGAGGTAGTAGAATGGCAGATTGATAGGCCTGGAAGATTCTAGAAAACATTGGTCAGTGAAATACCTCTAAAACCAGGCAGCAAGCCAGAACAAGGTCCAGGTCACTGTGATTTCCCTTAAGAAAGAGAAAAGCCTTCATGATTACAGCCACCGCAGCACCGAGATGGAAATTATGAAGCTCTCGAGCCCCAGTGCTCCAGCCCCACAAAGCTTAGCAGTCCACAGGCCACCATCACTGAAAAATACAGATGTTGGGGCAGCCTTGTAGCACAGCGGTTAAGTGCACACGTTCCGCTTCAGCGGCCCGGGGTTCACCGGTTCGGATCCCGGGTGCGGACATCGCACCGCTTGACAAGCCGTGCTGTGGCAGGCGTCCCAAAGGAGAAGATGGGCACGGATGTTAGCTCAGGGCCAGTCTTCCTCAGCAAAAGGAGGAGGATTGGGGGCGGATGTTAGCTCAGGGCAAATCTTCCTCAAAAAAGAGAAAGAAAGAAAGAAATACAGATGTTGACACCTCAGAGTGAAGCCAGCTAGGAATGACAGTGGTCACAGCAGCTGGGGATCATTCCAGGAATCCCAGCATAGCATCACACCAGAAGATCTTCCATCATAGTTTATCAGATGAACAGACAAAAGACTTTGTGTTTCTTTATCAGTAGATGCTGAAAGAGCATCAACATGTCCTGAAATTTTTATGATAAAGCTCCTTTAGTATAACAGTGTTGATGTTGGAAAAAGAGGCTCTCCATTTTGAAAAAAATTAAGACTTCTGCATCACATCTGGCAATAGTAACAATTCCAGATAGTTAAGTATTTAAATGTAAAAAGAAAAACCCATAAAAACAGAAGAAAATAAAGGTAATTTTTTTATAATCTTGGAGTTGGAAAGGACTTTCTAAGAATTGAAGCCATAAATTATAAGGAGAGATTAATAGGTGTGATGGAAGCAGGACCTGTATAAAGTTAAAAGACAAATGTCAAATGCTGGTGATTGCCAACGTAACAGAAGATAAAGGGTCAGTATCCTTACTCTATAAAGAATTCCTATAAATCAATAAGAAAAGACAATTACTGCAATAGAAAAATAGACAAAGGACATGAGGAGATAGTTCACAAAAGAAGAAAAATAGATGGTTAGTAAATAAACGTTTAAACTGTATCCTCAGTAACAAGATAGAGTGTTTTGCCTCTCCAATTGATAAAGTTAAAAAATAGGGGCCAGCCCCATGGCCAAGTGGTTAAGTTCGTGCGCTCCAGTTTGGTGGCCCAGGGTTTCGCCAGTTCAGATCCTCGGCATGGACACAGCACCACTCATCAGGCCATGCTGAGGTGGTTTCTCCCACACAGTACAACCAAAAGGACCTGCCACCAGAATATACTACTGTGTGCTGGGGGGCTTTGGGGAGAAGAAAAAGAAGAAGAAAGAAGATTGGCAACAGATGTTAGTTCAGGTGCCAACCTTTAAAAGAAAAATTAAAAGGGAAAAAATAATAAAATAAAAAATAATGCTCTTCAGTGAGGGAGAGGCCGTGGGGTAGTGGGCACTTGCACGTTGTCTTTGGGAGTGTAAGTGGGTACACCCTCTCGGAAGGAGGCATCCCAACAATGTGGACCAAGTTCTAAATGTATGTGCCCTTCCACTCCCAGAAACGTCTGGTTCACCAGGCTGTCTGGACCAGACATCCATCACAGGCCTTGTTAGCCTTCAAAAATAAAAAATTGGGAACAGTTGTGGGAGATTGAAATAAATTGGTATGTCCATATCAAGAAGTACTATTGCTTTTTTTTTTTTGAGAAAGATTAGCCCTGAGCTAACATCCGTGCCCATCTTCCTCTACTTTCTATGTGGGACGCCTGCCACAGCATGGCGTGCCAAGCAGTACCATGTCCGCACCCAGGATCCAGGCTGGCAAACCCCAGACCGCCGAAGCGGAATGTGCGAGCTTAACTGCTGCGCCACCAGGCTAGCCCCCTATTGCCATTTTTTTAAATGATCTGTGTTGACATGAAAACATGTCTACACTGTTTATATGGGAAGCTGTTGCTTATTAAGTGAAAACAGCAAGCTCTAAAGTAGGATCCCATGTTTCATGCGTGCGCGCCTACATGCATGTGTGCTAGGAACTGTCACTATTATATTGACGGTGCTCCAATTATTTTTTTCCCATATCTGAATTGCAGTTGATCTTTCATTTTGTTCACCTATGTTTTCAGAATTTCCCATGGAGAATATTTATTCCTTTTGAAGTTAGAAGTTAGTAATAAAACTGGTTACCTTAAAAATGGAAGCATTTTGGTGTGGAAGATGGAAGACTGGGGACTGCTGACTCACTCATGAGTGTCTACTGAGCGTCTGCTCCTCGGGGCCTGGCCCCAAGCTGCGTGGGTGCACATGTCAGCCGCGGTGGTCCTGCAGTCCTGCCCTCCCCGGGCTTGGGTGAGCACACCGCAAAGCCATAAAGCACATTGTAAAGGGTCTTGTGGCAGAGAGGCCGGCAGGGCCTGTCTGAGCAGGCATCTGAAGAGGAGGCAAGAGCCAGGCACGGGAAGAACATGACAGCTGCAGGCAGAGGCCGGGCCGGGCGGGCAGGGTCTGACTGAGGAAGAGGGTCCGGCGTGGCCACAGCGCAGTGCACTCGGGAGGAGTGGCAAGAGGGGCCTGGCCTTGCCAGCCTCGGGGGGACTTGAGTTTTACCTTAAGGCAGTGAGAAGCCAGTGAAGGCCGTGGGAATGCTTTTCCTGTGTTGTGATGTGGTTGCAAATCAGATTCTAGGTAGAGCAGTAGTTGTGTCCTTGAACAGTTCTGCAAAGGAGCTAATTCCTCATCCCCTGTTGTCTAGCACAGCTGCCTTGGGGAAGGTACTTGACCTTTTTAGCCTGTTTCCCCATCTGTAAATGGGGAGCCTGAGACTGTCCCTCTGCTGGGGCAGCACATGTCAGCCAGGTGAGGCATGTAGACTGTGCATCCTAGTCAGTTCTTTTATTAAAATCACTTTAAAGTGTATATTGAAGAACGGTGCAATTTGGCATTGTATTTGGGTGCATCAGTGCTAGCTTTACAGTGTCTACACTGAGGGTTGTGCTTAAGATAGAAAGTGTCCCAGAAGCTTTTGGGTTTTTTTAATTATTATTTTTATTGAGATTATGATAGTTTACAATCTTTTGAAATTCCAGTTGTACGTTATTGTTTGTCAGTTATGTTGTAGGTGCACCACTTCACCCTTTCTGCCCCACCCCCATCCCCCTTTCCCCTGGTAGCCACTAATCTGTTCTCTTTGTCTACATGTTTAACTTCCACATGTGAGTGGAGTCGTACAGAGATTGTCTTTCTCTATCTGGCTTATTTCACTTAACATAATTCCCTCAAGGTCCATCCATGTTGTTGTGAATGAGACCATTTTGTTCTTTTTTATGGCTGAGTAGTATTCCATTGTGTGTGTGTGTATATATATATATATATACACCGTATCTTCTTTATCCAGAAGCTTTCGTTTTAATTCTATATTTGTTGATTGCTCACCTTCCTAATTTGGAGGAAGAAATGGTTTGGGAGTAATTGTTTTCAAATTATTTCGTGATGTAATAGTTATAGCCCCAAGTTAATGAGTAATTTTTATTAACAATTAAGTGAAGTTTTCTCTCCTTGTAAAAGTTTCTTTGACCCTGTGTTTATTAAAGAGACAGTATTACTATAGCCAATGAACAGTTAATATTGTTCAACTTTTTTTTCTTATGGAAAATTTCAAGCATGTACAGAAGCAGAGTGGGATAATGAGCACACCAGACCCCACACACAAGCGCTCAGCATCCAGCTCCCCCTCAGCCACAGGACTGACCTAATTTTATACATCTCAGTCCAGCCCACTCCCAGAATATTTTAAAGCAAATCCCCAACATCATAGCATTTTGTGCGTAAATGTTTTGGTACATATCTCCAGAAGATCAGGACTGTTTGTATCATAACCACAGGAAAATGGTTAATACCCACTCTCCTGATGCAACGTATATGTAACCCCTTGTGTGATGACATCTTGTATTTAGGGGTTATTATGAACAAAGACTTGTGGTGTGCCTGTGTACGGTGCAGGTGGGTAACGTTGCATAGTCAACACAAAGACTGATTTTGCTCCTTTTTCATTTTGACTTAGAAAATACCACTTTCCCAACATTTAACATCTTGGGGTGTACTCTATAGCTTGAGGTGATTATTGACAAAAGCTTATTACATTTCAAAGATCTGAGATATTTGCATGCTTCAAGTCCCACATGAGTTTGGAACCATAAAAGGCGAAGAGTGGTAGGACCTCGGGGGCCAGCTGGGTAACCCCACCCACAAGGGGGATCACTGACACATCACAGTCCTTCTAGATCCTGCCTTTGCCAAGCCAGGATCCACTCCTCTCAGAGTCAGCTGGTTTGCACCACACTTAAAATCTCCCTTCTTTGTAGTTTACTTGAATATCCTTCATAAATTACTACTTATAAGTTTTAAAAATAAAGTATCTTATTACAACCAATCAGGTGTTGTTAAGAGCCGTGTGCCATCATGTCTCAAGGGGAAAGGGACTCAGGGAGTGATTGTTGAGTGGGTGGGATGGGAAAGAAGATTGTTCCCTTTGGGGCAACCTTCGTATTTCTCTTAAATTCAAATTTCCCAGCATTCTGGGGAGAAAAATTGAACCACCTAAATTTTTGTTACATTAGATTTACAGTTTCTTACAGGTATAGAGAATAGTCTGACATAATGCCCAGCACAAAGTAGGCACCCAGTCAGATGTTTGCTGAATAAAGGAACAGATTTTGTAACTTTTGCTTTGTTAGACAAGGCTACTTTATATAGTTGGGATATTTTAAAGATACCTTTTTATAATGGAGTCACATCATATGCCTTCTTAAGTTATGCCAATTCAAGTATGTGCTGAGCCCAGAAAAAGAAGGAAAACACCGATAAGAATTGACCATTTACAAATGCACTGACCTCGGCTTGCACTCAGCGTGTGCAGCTCTGACATGGCCCGAGATGGAGCTGCCCTGTGCACTTCCCTCCATCAGGCTTTGCTTCGTGTGGACGTCACGTGTGAGCTAGCCCCAGCCTCACTGCATGCAGTGTGCATTGAAACAGCCCCCATTTGACAACACAGGCGTTGCTCACTGCCCCTAGAACCTCCCTTTGCGTAAGATGTGGCTCCACTTGAGACGTCACTCCCACCAGCTGATGCTCCTGTGGATGGTGGGGCCCATGAGGACTTCAACCCTGTGCTTCCAGTTACCTAAAAATGTATTACCATTTTCACCTTTGCTCGATAGCTTCGTTTGCTCCAATAAGCTTTGCAATCAAAGCCAAAGAAAATGATCTGCTTCCCCTGGAAAAAAACCGTGTGAAGCTAGATGATGACAGTGATGATGATGAAGAAAGCAAAGAAGGCCAAGAAAGTTGTAGCAGTGCTGCGAACACTGCTCCGGCAGTGGCCCCACCCTGTGCAGTCGCGGAGGAGAAGCGGCCTCAGCTGACCCAGGAGGAGCTAGAAGCAAAGCAAGGTTTGTCGATGTTTTAAACTTCTTGAAAGGAGAGAAGTACGTAAATACGAGATTAACCTACTGAGCCAAAAACACTGAGACTGCCAGCTAGATTCTCCAGCCTTTGGAAATTAGAACCTTTTGGGAGTTGTGATGTTTTTGTGCCTTTGGAAAGTTCTGTTAGAGGAATGAGCACTACTCTTCATTAAGCATCAGATGCAGTGCCGTGGGCAGTTTGTTTTCAGAGAAACAAGCTGGCGAGAGTGCTTTCAGGGAGGGGCCCTTTGCACTTTCATGGCAGCCTTGGGGCTAATGGTTAGCCTGTGTTCCCAGCTTGGGTTAATGTACCGAACTAGGAGATGCCGTTTTGTGAGGCTCTCTCCCAGCGGAACCACTGGACCCCTGAAGATGACGCAGGCCCCGAGCTGGTTTCCAGGTAGTGGCTCATCTTCATGGGTCAGCGTGGCCACCACATGCCTCTGACACATGGCCAGCAGCATTTGTGGGGAACATCTTATAGTTCTCCACTCCTACTCCAAAATAAATTATATTCTGCACTAAAGTAGTTACTTAACGATTATAACAACTAGAAGGAGCTGCAACTAAGATATACAACTATGTACGGCGGGTTTGGGGAGATAAAGCAGAAAAAAAAAAAAACGTGTTTGTGGTTTTATCTCTTCTGACTGGTTTTTGTAAATTGCTTTTTTCTGTGTATACACAAACAGATCAAGCAACACTTATAGAAGGTACTTTTTTAACCACAGGATGCCTTACTATTGAGAACTTGCAGTGTGCTGTAGTTGCTCTCCCTAAGCACATTTTTGTTCGTGCGTGTGTATCTGAATCTGCACTCACTATGTATAAACTGAACAAAGTGTTGGACCATTTGGAATAAAGCGCTTCGTAAAGTGTTCATTACCTGGTATGAATATTTTGGACACGTGTATGAGCGCTGTTTCTGAGGTTTTCATTATTCCAGCTTTCATTGGTATGGGATCCTGTCAACCTTCTGACTTTGATTTTGAAAGTGAAATATAAAAAATACTAACAAGCGTTGTAAACTAATTCTCTCAAAATTCAGTTTGCCTGATTTGTTTACCTGTCCTGAAATTTGTATCATATTGCTCTTATAAAATAATGGCACTGTGTTTCATGACCCTTTCACTGCCTGTGAAAATTCAGATAACAAGATATTTATAAAACACTGCTTGCTCTAAAGGGCGCTTTTTTCTTTGTTTACTTCTTAAGCAAAGCAAAAGCTGGAGGACCGGCTCGCAGCTGCCGCCAGGGAGAAGCTGGCACAGGCGTCCAAGGAGTCCAAGGAGAAGCAGCTCCAGGCAGAGCGCAAGAGGAAAGCGGCTTTATTTTTACAGACCTTGAAAAATCCTCTGCCAGAAGCTGAAGCTGGAAAAGCTGAGGAGAATCCCTTCAGCGTAGAGGTGAGTTTAACGTAGGTCCACCTCAGCAATGTGGGTGAGCGCGGGTGGGGTGAGGATGAGTGTGTGGAGTTCTGCAGCCTGAGGAAAGGCTGGTAGCAGACCCCGCTCTCCTGCGTGAGAGTGCACGCTTCTGCTGTATAGCTGGGGTCAGGAAGAACCTCCTGAAAACTCCCCATAAATGTACATACACACCAAACGCTGAGTGCAGTTTCAGACACTCAGGCCTCTGGGCCCAAGTTGAGAACCTCTGTTCTGTGGCTGCCCTTGTGGGCCCTGGGGGAGAGCTTCCCTGTGTGGGATCGCGTCAGGCCTGGGGCAGCCTGGCTGGAGCGTGGTCCAGCTCACACTCAGTCATGGCAGAGGTGCTCACAAGGAGCTCTAGTCAATACCAGTACTTTGATTAGAAGAAAACTGAGATCTTCTCATCTCACTGTCGTCTTCTCATCAGAGGGGTCGAATCCTCACGGCTACTTCCTGTACTGTGTCACAGGACTTAGCCCCTCTGGCCCATTTTCTCCCTTGAGACGGGTCGGAGCGAGGCTGCCAGAACACAGCCCAAGACTTCTCCAGGGGTCCCCAGAGTGTCTGTTGTGTCTGTCTTCTCCCTGCACTTTTTTTACTTCAATTACGTTGACATTTTTAAGAGTCTAGAGCCACTATTCAGAACTGATTTTTGCTGCATGTAGCTGCTTTGTTTATTGTTTTTCCGTGGAAGTCAGCATTCTGAGTTCAGATTTTCGGCATTCTGTTGAAGGCCAAATCAGCTTTCTTGCCTCAGGAATCAGTCTGAAATTCTCTCAAATCTGGCAGGAGGCCTCAAAAATAATAGCTGGATTAGATCGAGGCGAGCAGTGAGTGTCAGCTGTTGTGAGATCTTATCAGTTGTGGGCTTATCAATGTGGGGGACTGGTCGCTGCGGCTCTCCTTCTGGGTGCTCCAAGCTGCTCCTCCAGCACCAGCCCTGAAAGTTTCTCGTGAGCCTGTCCTCTGTCTGGCCTCCACCACCCAGGGTTGGGGAAACTCCCGCCAACCCGCCAGGACACCGCCACCTCCGCTTGGCTCTGCACCGCTTCCAGAGGCAGCTGCATCGTTGGGGCCTCACTGTAGCAGTCCCGGCTGAAGCTGAGAGAGGCGCGGAAAGACCTGTGCACCGATTGGGAGTGCAATATGCAGCAGCTCAAACTGAGCACCAGCACTGCTGAAACAGCAAGAAAAATGTTTTTGATAGGAAAAGGGGGAGAGGCAGGATATAAAATATCTCCACTTTTATGGTTACAGCCATAAACATTCTGCATATAGCAAGGGGCAGGGAACTGGAGAAAGCAGAGGAGGTGTCACGTGGGAGGGTGGGAATGGGCCTTGATTTTCCTGCATTGCTTTGGTGTCGTTTGTGCAGTGCATAAAGGGCTTAAATAAGGACATCTGCATATACTGACACTTTACCCAAGTATATTACGTGGTTGCATCTGTATGGTCTAATGAACTGATGTTTAACGAAAACCCAGTGGCCGCCACAGTCACTCGTCATAATCCAGCCTCTCCCAGTCTCCTGTACTGCCTCACCGCAGCCACCAGAATGTTTTCTTATAAACACAAGAGAGACTGCAACCGATGCTTTTATCCCATTTATCTCTATATGTGGCCTCTCCCACCTTTCTTGTTTTCAAGCATGTGTTTTGAATCTATAATACATAGAAATGAGTGTCTCTGCTTCTGTTGAAATCACTGGGTCGATCTTCCTGGATATCTAGTGGCAGAGATTGTAGCTACTAAACTAATAACAAAAATGTCATGGTAGTAGCAGATGATGATAAACATCTTTAATTGCCTTGAAACAAAAATAGTTGAATTGAATTGCAATTGTCATAAATGAGATTCACACTCAAAAATACCTTCAGACTACAGCAGCTTCTGGAGACAGGTTACCTGGCTTCGTTGACTATTCTGTGTGCACTTTACTCAGATGCTGGTACATCTGATCCTACTGCACAGGTGTAGAATTTTAGCATCCAAGGCACTTGAGATTTGGTAGGGTGGCCCCCTCGCACCCAGGGTGAGGAGAAGAGGGAGTCGGCCCAGTGGGAGCTGGGGGCACCTGGATCCAACTAAGCAGACATGTGCAGGACAGCATTGGGGCACTGTTCAGAAGGTCTGGCTCAAAACCTGCAGGATTTTGCTGTCATCCTGTAGCATATCTGCCATTAAGAGAGCACTATCTGTTCTTACTTTGCTTTTTATAAAAATGATGTATGCATGTGGTTTTAAAAGTTCAAATGCTAGAGAAAGGTATGAAATGAAGAGTAAAACTCTTTTCCTTCTTATGTACTTTTTTTTAATTCCTGTGAAAATAGCAATTTTTCATTTATTTTGTGTGTGTGTGTAAAATAGACTTACATACAGTTTACCATTTTAACCCTTTTTAAGTGTATAGTTCAGGGGCATTAGGTCCATTCACAGTGTTGTGCAGCCAGCTCCACCATCCGTCTTCAGGACTCTTCATCTCCCAGACCAAAGCTCTGGCCCCATTAAACACTGACACCCCCCTCCCCCCACCCCTGGTGTCCGTCTTCCACTCTCAGTCTCCATGAATGTGATTCTCTAGGGACCTCATGTAAGTAGACCGTACAGGATTTGTCCTTCTGTGGGTGCCTTATTTCACTTCACAGAATGTCCTTCCTTTTTAAGGTGAATAATACTCCATTGGATATGTATACCACATTTTGTTTCTTGTGTATTCTTGAGGGAAAAAAAAATCTATGTATAGGTTTAAAACATTACGATAATAGGACCATACCCTATTCAGTATTCTGGCATCTCAATTTTTCATTTCTATCCGTGTCAGGGTAGTGCTTGGTGTGTTATGGGCACTTGGTAAATGTTGACTGGATGAGTGGCTGTCAACCCTTTCGTAAATCAACACTTAAATCAAGCCCTGTCTGGCCGTGACTGGCTCCCCTTCCCGCCAGTGGGGACACAGCTGTCCTAGGGGGTGACTTGTCAACAATGCTGTTTTAAGCCTGTTTCCTGCCTTGTGCACTCACATCAGTGAGTGTATCCGTAGGGTACATCCCCGACCGTGGAATAGCTTCTGTAATTTTAGATACTGCTAAATTAGCCCCTGAACGATTGCAGCAGTTTTTGTCCATCTCCATGGGTTGTGAAAGTAACTATTTCCTCATGCTTCTACCAACATTGGTTACCATCAGCCTGTAACTCTTGTCAGTCTGATAGGTGGAACAAGGATACGTTTGGTTTAACTTACATGTTTTGATTGTAAGTGATATTGAGTAACTTTTCATGGTTTTCATGGCATTTTTATCCTCCCACCCCCATGAACTGCCTTCATAGCCTTCACTCGTCTTCCTCCCACTTTCTGTCCTCATCTCTGCTATTTTGTGTTGGCTCTTTGTCACCAGTATTGCAAACACTTTTCGTCGTTGCCCATTTTAATCTGCCCCACTTGGAATTTGTTTCAGTTTGAGGAGCATATACCTAGAGATAACACAATTCACTGAGTCACCCATCTTTCCCACTGCTATAAAGGACCTCCTTTTTTATCTACCAGACTCCCATTTGTACTAGCTGTTTCGGCACTCCTGTCTGTATGGTTCCATTGGTCTGTTTGTTAAGAGAAGTGATTTTACGTATTCAGGTGTAACTTTAAATGAAACCTTAAAGTGTGTGTATTGACATGGACAGATATCAACAGTATGTTGTTTTTAAGCAGTATGTAAAACATATAAAAGCATGTTCACGAGCAGTACATAGAAATCCGTTTTTGGTGTGTGTGTGTGTGTGTGTGTCTCTGTGTGTCTGTGTCTGTGTGTGTGTCTGTGTGTGTCTGTGTGTGTTTGTGTGTCTGTGTGTGTGTCTGTGTGTGTGTGTCTGTGTCTGTTGTGTCTGTGTGTGTGTGTGTGTATCTGTTGTGTGTGTGTGTCTGTGTGTCTGTGTGTGTGTTCTTAATCCCCAAGGAAAGAAATCACAAGTCTTGAATTGAGTCCCTTTGGAGTCATCATGCTGTCGTTTTTGTAGCAACAACAGACTGGAGGATTTTTTTTTAGATAACAGTAATTTTTTCTAATAATTAGTGATTCTGCCAAGCTTACAGGTCCAACCAGAGTTTGAAAAGGAAATGGGAACAAAAATCAACCCGTATTTGTTGAGCCTCTGTTATATTCAAGGTGCCGAGGCCTGTTTCTTATCCACTGACCATAACGTCACATTTGCATGGTTGGCATTCGCACCTGAGCATTCCCACCAGCACAGGCCTCTGGGGCACAGGGCAGCTCTGAATAGACACGAGTGATGGCTGCGGCCTCCAGGAGGGCAGAGGTGGCACAGGGCCTGCAGCCCCCTCCCTCAGAGGGAGGAGTTTGTAGTGGGCCTGGATACTTTGGAGAGGTGACAGAAAAGCGAGGGCATTCCAGGGCCAAAGACCCACAGGGGGTGGAGGTGGGTGAAGCCTGCTCAGGCAGCCGTGATTACCATGACCCTGCCCCGAAGAGTCTTCGGAGAATGCTCAACTAGGGTGGCAGCGTGGGAGAGGTTTGGGAGAGCGTGGGACACTGGCGAGCTAAAAGCATTTCCATGGGAAGAGTGTGGCCCTGGCCAGCTCATGGGATAGATGGAGGCAGAGGCAAAATGGCAGGGAGAGCACTCCACCTGGGCACGGGCTGATTAGAGTGAGGGTGGGTGATGACAGCACAGGAGTCACAGAGTCGTCTTGAAAAAAGCGTCGGCAGTCAGATCCTGGCGATTGGATTGCTTTGTAGGGTCGACTGGGTGACTCGTGACTGGCAGCAGTGGATAGAGATTTGGAAATGTAGTTTTAGAGGATGCATTTCAAAGTCTGAAATTTCGAACTTATAAAAACATGCCGAGTCTTCTGTATAGTTATCCCATTTCGTAGTCACTGTAGTGTCGCTTCACAAATAAGAGTTTGTTTTAAAATACATGTTAGTCTGCTTTAGAGCAATTCATTTTCCCACAGCAGGAAATAA